TGTATTCTAGGATAGAAGGATAACTATACCTACACATGGCATGGCCTTTGTGTGCATTTGATAATTCAACTTGGCAGAAATAAATTTGGTATAACTTTTCACAAACAGGAATATACCGCTTCAACAGTGAATTTCATTGTTAACCATTATTGGATTGAGCTCACCTCGACCTCATTGGGGGTATAGGAGTTGTCTATGTGAAATTTCAGCTTGGATATTTCTTTCTCACCCAACCAGTGTTCGGCACTACTTCTATCAGAAGCTAGTGATGCATCGATGCAAGTAAGACCACATTCCTTCCTACAAAAGTAGCCACTATTGCATTTTTTCCGATAATATGCCCGAACTCCTACCCGATGTAGTTCTGAATATCTGTAGCCGTCTGCAGACTTGCCAATGTTGGAGAGCAGAAGATTGTTTTTGGTATGGCGTTGCGGGAAATCAGCTCACGGGCAAACAGCTGCGCCGTAATGCGACCAATCTGAACTAGATGTGTTTGATTGAATCTTAAGTGTAATGCAGACAGATTAGAGATATGTTGGCCATAACTTAGTATAACCTTCTCATATTGTGTCCATTACCTTTCAGACCTCTTAATGTACTAAAAAAATTGTTTTACTTTGCATGAGTAGCTAGACTCAATTTCTTTGGTGAATTATTCGAAAAACCTTAGGTTGTCGAATTGATCTCTGATCAAATTGTTGCTCCAGTGGCAAGCCACTCATTGCCAAGAATGTGTTTTTTATGTCGAATATATGTTGTGGACGGATAAAAAATGTTTATTTACAAGTTGAGTTTTTGATAGAGGACTGGTCATGCATCAATAATTTTAACATCAAAAACTAAAAACAAAATTCCACCCTTCTTTGTGAACTTGTGCTCTTTGAATTATTTTAGAATGTCAAGTGAATTTCTTGATAGACTTTAGAAATCGCATGAGTCACAATCAGCGGGTTTTGTTTACAAGCAGAAGAAGTTTTTATTAGAATACCTCAGTTCCGGAAAAGCAC